CCGTCCTTGTGGCCCAGAGTTTTGTCTCCCCATTGTGTCCCCTCGTCGGTTGTCTGGTGTGTCACGGGTGTCTGGGTGTAGTTGTCCCGGAGCTGCTCTGCCCTGCTGCCCAGCCTGGCTGTAGGTGTAAAAGGCCAAGTCCCAGGCCCCTGTAATTTGAACTTTGTGATGTAGGGTGTAGTTGGGGTCTAGAACATATTCCTAGATCAACACTAGATGTCTGCATCTGTGAAGTTATCCTGCAGTGCTTTGACTTTTGTCTCAGCTTTCTTTCAGATGCGCATGGATGAAATCGGTGGCCGAGAGCCCCAGCCAGGGTAAGGGGGTTCCCCCAAAAAGGTAAGTCAATGTTTGTCTTTGCAGGGCAACTGGAACCGGTCACTGTGTTACAGGTCTCCTCTTTGTCTTTATTTTTAGGAAATAGAGCTGGCTAGCAGCAGTCAAGGTGAAGTGGGCAAGGTGAGCGTTGACCGGTGGAGGGAGGCTGTTGTTATCGCTGGGCTCTCAGTTTCTGGTGCAGCGCCAAGCGTCCCTCCTTGTTTGCGTGCTTTAGGCGGTCCAGTCGCGTTTCGTCGAGACCCCGTCAACCAGCCGGCCGGCACGGCACGCCTGCTTCGCCGCTCCCGTGAGCCCTGAGGAACCATACACAGGGACCGGTTCCAGTTGCCCTGCAAAGACAAACACTGACTTACCTTCTCGGGGGAACCCCCTTACCCTGGATGGGGCGCTCTGCCACCGATTTCATCCGGCCGCATCTGAAAGAGAGCTGAGACAAAAGTCAAAGTGCTGCAGGGTAACGTCACAGCTCCAGACATCTTGTGTTGATCTAGGGATATGTTCTAGACCCCGACTACACCCTACATCGCCAATTTCAAATTACAGGGGCCTGGGACTTGGCCTTTTACACCTACAGCCAGGCTGGGCAGCAGGGCAGAGCAGCTCCGGGACAACTACACCCAGACACCCGTGACACACCAGACAACGGACGAGGGGACACAATGGGGAGACCAAACTCTGGGCCACAAGGACGGCCGCAAGGACTGAGAATGCGGAACGAGATGAGCCGGGTGAGAATGAAGGCGAGCTGATGAAGCTCACAGAACCCGGGAGGAAGAAGATGCTGACAGAATGACAAACTCCAGGAACCGCCAAGACAGAGGCCCAAGAATCTTATGGCCGCAATCCTCTACCTATCTTTGCGTTTCTTCAAGTCCTAAGCCGCAACAATGGATCCTCGCGGCGCACGGCTGTTGACACAGCTCGGAAGAAGACGTCTAAAAGACATCCAATCGGATGCTTGTCAAAAGAGACGCGATTCCAAGGCCTCTGAGAGCAGCCGAGCCGAGGAGCCCAGAGATTGGAGATGCTATAAGTGATGCTGGGGTTTCTGGTAAGCCCCCAGAAGAGATAGGGAAGGCACATACAACACAAGAGGCACAAAAGACACAGAAGGCACGATGGACGAGTGACACGACGCGCCCAGAGGCTGCTCTGTCCTGCACACCTCAGCACTGTGAACAAAAGTGAGGCTCTCCCACCGTGCAGCCTAAGGGGCCACAGCCTGGACCTCCCCGTCCCCAAAGCTGACTCAAAAATCCCAGGTCATGAGCCCCGACGCGGCACCCCGCTTTCATCCCCCCTCTGCGGGTCGTAGCCTTCGACTCAGCTCTCAGATGCTTGGTGGGGTGGATCCACATGGGGTGTGAAGGAAGGCCTCCTCGCCATCTGGGAAGTTCCTGCCATTGCCAGGATGTCGACTCCTTGTCAGCTACAACCAAGAAGACAAAATATCAATGCAGGAGCTTAGTCCTACATCTGTGAAAACCCAGCACTTACCTTCTCTAGAGAATGCCCAGGTTCATGGGCTGCACACTTCACCCCACAGGGAGGCCGAAGCTTGCTTCACAGCAGTATTGGCTGACAGCCAAATGACCACCACCTCAAGGAGGGGAGGAAGACTCTCCAGTCAGTGAGGGCCAGGGAGCCCAGGGTACCCCAAGGATAGAAACCCCAGCTTATACGACAGCAGTAGGCCCGAGCACTCACTATCGCTTCCTGGCTGGCCCTAGCACCAGGGAACTGCCTGCACCTCTCGGGGGTTCTGGCACTCTGCTGCTTTCGGGTTCCTGCCTGCAGCTGTCTCAAGGAAACGGGAGTGCTGTGAGGGCTACTGTTTGGGGTTTGAATAGTCCTGTACTCTACCTTATATCCCAACCTATACCCCTTTTCTTTTCACTGTTTGTCTCCAGCCCTCGAGACCTTGACCTCTGAAGCCCTCCCTCAGCCTCTCCGTGTCACTGCCAAGCTGCCCCGCTGAACCCTACAAACTTACAACCCTATGCTTGCAACCGGGGATGCTCCTTATCCATAGGCCCCAAGAGATGTCCCTTAGCCTGGACCAGGCAATCCACAGTTGCTCCCTACCCTACCTAAGTTTGGCCCTGAGACAGGGCAGAGGCTGACAGAGCCGAACTCTTTGCGGAGGCCAGGCACGAAGCCTTACCAACCGCCGCCTCGAGGAGGGGTGGGAGCAATCCCCGGCTGCGGAGGGACAGAGAGCCCAGGGTGGGGCGGGGCGGGAAACCCCCTGTTTCCCCAACCCTGCGGATCGTCCCCCCACTATCTCTTCCTGGCTGGCCCTAGCACCAGGGTACTGCCTGCACCTCTCGTGGGTTCTGGCACTCTGCTGCTTTAGGGTTCCTGCCTGCAGCTGTCTCAAGGAAACGGGAGCACTGTTAGGGCTACTGTTTAGGGTTTGAATAGTTCTGTACTCTACCTTATATCCCAACCTGTACCCCTTTTATTTTCACTGTTTGTCTCCAGCCCTCGAGCCCTTGACCTCTGAAGCCCTCCCTCAGCCTCTCCGTGTCACTGCCAAGCTGCCCCGCTGAACCCTACAAACTTACAACCCTACGCTTGCAACCGGGGATGCTCCTTATCCATAGGCCCCAAGAGATGTCCCTTAGCCCGGACCAGGCAATCCACAGTTGCTCCCTACCCTACCTAAGTTTGGCCCTGAGACAGGACAGAGGCTGACAGAGCCGAACTCTTTGCGGAGGCCAGGCACGAAGCCTTACCAACCGCCGCCTCGAGGAGGGGTGGGAGCAATCCCCGGCTGCGGAGGGACAGAGAGCCCAGGGTGGGGCGGGGCGGGAAACCCCCTGTTTCCCCAACCCTGCGGATCGTCCCCCCACTATCACTTCCTGGCTGGCCCTAGCACCAGGAAACTGCCTGCACCTCTCGGGGGTTCTGGCACTCTGCTGCTTTAGGGTTCCTGCCTGCAGCTGTCTCAAGGAAACGGGAGCGCTGTTAGGGCTGCTGTTTAGGGTTTGGGGTGGGGTATACCTGAACTCCACCTTACCTATACCCCTTCTTTTCACTGTTCACTCAGCCTTTTTATTTTTGGAATTCTTGTGACAGATTGAGGGCACCGGGGAGGGACTGCCACGATGAAATCAAAAGGGAAAAGGACAAAGATCACCCCTGCAAATCCACACTGGCTCAGCTGTTCAGGTGCTGCTTCCTGGCAGAAAGCTTTGTCCCTCACCACCTCCTTTATGCAGTGCTCCACGTCCAGTTGCATCCACGTGCTCCCCCAGACCCTATGAGATGCTCTCACCGTCACTCCATCAGATGCCACTGGGAGCCCACCAGAAACTCCTCTCCTTCAGCAGTTCCATGCCAAAGTTGTTTTGCCACTCGTATTTGGCCCTGTAATAACAGCAAAATCGTTGCCCTCTGTCAGGTATGTGTTGTTAGACACAGGTTTTTCCATAGCCATCTTTTCAAGAACGAAGTGCCATCCCTGCTTGATTGCTAAATTAACAGTAAATTCTGGAAAACCTAAATGAGAAAAAGAATCTAAAAGACTGACGAGTTAATATGGGAACCTTTATGTGATTAAACTAGTATGTTTTGAAATAAAGTGAATTCTTCCAGGTCTACTGCAAAAATCTAATTCCTAAAAAAAAAAATAACCAAAAAACAAACAGCATCAAATTCTCACCCATATGATCAATAAAACCAGCCAAGGGAAAAAAATCTTAACCTAGAAAAAATCCAAACCACCTCAAAAAGATTCAACACTGAAACACAATGCATCCTAACACTTAAACTAACAATACTAAAATAAATTTTAAAAACAAGTATTCCCTCTATCCACACCAACCCAATACCACATAAAACAAATAAAGTACTCTCATCACAGCACCCCCAAATCAAAAACCTAAATTGCACTAAAATCTTTAAAATAATCACAAATTAACCCCAAAATAAAGTTTAGTCTCACTAACAAAAAAAACCCAAAACAGGTAACACAAACAAAACCCACACCGTACAACCACCAGCAAAAACAGATGCTATGCTCTTTCACTAACAGTTCTTATCACATCAGCAAAGTTAAACATAAATAAAAAGCAACGCTATTGAACTCCACACATCACACCAACTATTAAAAAAAAAAATCAAACCAAGTCACTGAACTCAAAGCCATTCAACTAACCCTAAACATTAGTAAAAAAACCCCAAAGCTCTACATTTATAGTAATACTTAAATAATTACCAAGACTCTATAAAAGATTAATAACTAATTAAAAACAAAAAACCAACCAAAACTACAAAAAGTTAAAAAACACCACCCCCAAAAATATACCTATAAAAAGCCACCATATAAATGCCTGTGTCCCCAGAAATGAAGCTAATAAGAAACACCACAACAGAAAGGAATCCAAACTTATCATCAACACCTAAACTAAAAAACACAACGTTAAATAAATAGAACATATACATTATTATACGCCAACTACAAACAAAATAAAATTATACAATCAATTAGTAAAAATCACCTTAGGACCACTCAAAAAACTTCCAAAAATTAAAAACTGCATCTAACAAAAGCCAACTAATTAACACCCAAAACTCAGCTAACCAAACAAACCCTACCCCCTCTGATCCCCTACATACAATAAACAAAACCAAATAATG